TTCCATAAAAAACATCCAAATGATCCATAAAACTTCGGAAAAAATCCTGAAAAAAGTTTGAACGATCCATAAAATATATCAATATGATCCATATTTAATGTAAAATTTAGCAACACAATTGTAAAAATGTACCGCTAAATTTCTAAGGAATGAGCATTGAAATTGTACGAATTACCCATAAACATATTGCAATTGATCCATAATACATGCAGCAGTGAATCTTAAACTAAAGAAAGTGATCCATAAAAAATCATGTTTGCAAACTTAAAATATAGCCATGTTCGTATTAATGAAAGCAACTTCCTCAGAGCAGTCTCGTTTTGGACAGCTTGAAGCTGAAATAGGTTTTATTAAACTAATATAAAATCAAAACCAATCTTAATGCTTATAATAAAAACTATTTCAGCTTCAAGCTGTCTAAAACGAGACTGCTCTGAGGAAGTTGCTTTCATTAATCCGAACATTCTTGAAGAACAACATCGGATAAAACCTCAAAATGTCAGAGGGATCAACACCACCGTTGAGTGAAGAACAGAACAGCGATAGAAACTGTACGCTTTGTGAAGGCCACGACCACGTAGATGATATGGTCCAGTGTGATGTCTGCGATTTCTGGACCCATTATAGTTGTGCTGGTAAGACAACAGCTGTAAAGGAGGTTCCGTAGACGTGCTCTAAGTGCACAAATATGCTGAAGGTGCAAAAAGGAACCAAGAAGTCTGTCCCAAAGAAACCACCTAGCAGAAATAATAGAGCGAGGAGTGATGCCGCAACCGAATCTCGAAAAGGAAGTAGGTCAGCCTGGAAGAATCCCTAGACCAGACACGAGAAAATCCACGAACCCTTCATTTTACCTGTCAAACTTTCATAGCGAATTAAAACAAATATTGTGTAGTACTAGAATTTTGACTAGAATGGGGTACGTTAATCGATTTGCTTGGGACCAATAGGCAAGTCAAGTAGTGAACCAATTTAAAATCGTTAGTTTCGTATTGATTGTTGGTAGCTAGTTCACTACAAATAACTACAATTTAATTAAACGATAGGTGTATTAACAAATTTAGGCAATTAAAATAATTTAGCTGTAAAACATTTTTTAGATGGTTTGGAATTGTATCTTCTTTTCCTCTTTTTTTCTCGTTGATACTCCGACCTATTTAATGTTTGGTTCAACGGAACTGTGAGTTCACAGTTCCGTTGAACTAAAGCTGACGTCTGTCATTTCTGACAGCGACCGTTACCGTAGCTCTCTGAATCTCCCACAGGGTTGTCACTGGGTTTGGCGGTACAGGGTTATCCCGATATTCCGAACAGCCATGATCCATAAATTAGACGTATATTATTCACGTTTTGAACACTGTATTATTAATTTTGATCCATAAACCATGACAAATTGCTCCATTACTGCTTAACTACTTAGATTTACTGTCCTGCCGTGTGTTTAGGTAGATGTGCGGAGCGATGGTCAAGCGTCTAGAATAAGCTTCCAAAAGAAGCTTCTATAATAATCTTCTTAAGAAAAAATGAAAAATAAATGTTAATTTTATGGATCATACCTAGGGTAGGTGTTGCAGTTGTTGGTAGACGTGCTTATTTTGGTGTGTTCCAATTATAGTCTATATCGAGGGGGGGGGGGGGGGCGACACATCCAAATCTCAATTCTAGATGCTCAACAGATCTACCACTAGCGAATCAATCTTCGAAAAATATTCTTTCATTTCTCGCATCTACTTGCATCGGGCCTTATCTTTTAACAGGAAATCTTCAGAATCGTCATCAATCTTCTTTCTATCTACTCAGCGTGTGCGCAGCTAGCCGAAACAAAACACAATTTTTCCTGCATCGTAGCTAGAGTCACCCCCCTCGGTCTATATACATATGTTTTTTTTTTTTTTTTAATTTGATCAATAAACCTTGGAAAATTGCTACATTACTGCGTAGCTACTCAGGTTTACTGTTCTGCCCGTGTTTTTTTTGTCAGAAGAGCAGAACGATGGGCGAGCGTCTAGAATAAGCTTCTTAAAAAGTTTCTAAATGAAGCTTCCATAGGAAGCTTCTTAAGAATATTATTATAGAATCTTCTTTTGGAAGCTAATTCTAGACGCTTGCCCGTCGCGTCGCTTCGCACATCTACCTTAAATACACGGGCAGGACAGTAAATATAAGTAGATAAGCAGTGGAGCAATTTTTCAAGGTTTATGGATCAAAATTTAAAAAAAAATGTCCTAAACATGAATAATATACGTCTAATTTATGGATCATGCCTATATTTTTAAGTGTGCAAACTTGATTTTCTATGGATCACTTTCTTTAGTTTAAGGTTTATTGCTGAATGTTTTATGGATCAATTACAATATGTTTATGGGTAATTCGTACAATTCCAATTCTCATTATTTAGAAATTTAGTGGTACATTTTTACAATTGTGTTGCTAAATTTTACATAAAATATTGATAATATTGATATTATTTATGGATCATCGACACTTTTTTAGGGATTTTCTCCGATGTTTTATGGATCATTTGGATGTTTTTAATGGAACGTTTTTCAATATTTTATGGATCGTTTTATCAATTCTAAAGGTGCAAACTTAGGGCTGCCAAAAAATAGCGACCGAAAAAAACACAATTCCATCCGCGAGCACAGCACTCTGCGATCCCTCTATTGCACATGTTTTAAGCAATTTCGACGGAACTCGTTTGCGTTTTAAAACGGCTCTAATGGATATTTTTGGTCGCTATTGAAAATTTAGTCAAATGCTGAATTTATGTATGGGCCCAAATTAGGGGCATTTAGCCCGACATTACATCCATTTCCCCTTTTATCTAAAACTTTGCCAACGACATTGTTTTTCTATCTCGACTCACAAAAAATATGTTTGTCCATCTCCCTCAAAGGTCATGAAAAAGTTAAATTAAAAAAAAAAAAGCTTTCCAAAGTCACTGCATGTATATCTCAAGTTTGCGTAAATAATAAAACGCACGTTTTAGCGATTAAAAAAAAACCGAGATTACGGCTGACGAACTGTTGGTCTATATAAAATCATCTAAAAACATGAAGGTCCCAGGTTTCGACATCATCCTGAATCTGGAACTCAAACACTTGAGTTCCAGATTCTACAACCATCTGGCACTGATTTTTAATCAGTGCCTCAGACTTGGCTACTTCCCCTCGTTGGAAGTCAGCTAAAGTCATACCCATCCGGAAACCTGGGACGGATCCGTTCTCTCCTTCAAGTTATCGACCAATCAGCCTTCTCTCAGGGTTATCAAAACTGTTCGAAAGAGCAGTGTACCACCGGCTCCAAACATATGCCGATGAAAACAACTTGTTAATCGAGGAACAGTTTGGTTTTCGGAAATGTCGTTCGACCGTCCACCAGCTGACTCGAGTAACAAACATTCTCAGATGGAACAAGTCTGTTTCGAAAACATCTGCCATGGCGTTGTTGGTCGTTGAAAAAGCGTTCGACAATGTCTGGCATGATGGCCTGGTGTTCAAATTGCAGTAGTACGGTCTTCCAATCTTCCTAGTGAAGATAATAAACAACTATCTATCGGACAGGACGTTCCGAGTCTCTCTGAATAGCATCACATCGGATGCTTTCAACATCGGTGCCGGGCCACAAGGAAGCATCCTTGGCCCCATCCTATTCAACCTGTTCACATTCGATATGCCGGCTCTCCCCGATGGTGGATCGTTGTCTCTGTTCGCAGATGACACATCCATCGTCTACAAGGGTAGGGTCATCGGAGCTCTGACTGTCAAACTTCAGAGAGGCCTAGACGCCCTGTCTGAATACTTCAACAGCTGGAAGATCCGTATCAACGCGGCAAAGACCCAGGTCTTTCCACACTCTAAATCTCTCAGACTTGTTCCGTCGGAGAATAACAAGATCTGTCTGTACGTCACAGTGGTGGAATGGTCCAAAGAGGTCGTGTACCTCGGGCTAACACTAGACAGCAAGCTTCTTTTCAGGAAGCACGTTGACAAAACGAAAACCAAGTGCAACATCTTAATAAGATCGTTGTTTCCACTTATCAACAGGAAGTCAACCCTGTCTCTGAAAAATAAGCTTGCTGTCTACAAACAAATCATCCTTCCTGTAATCGAGTACGGTATGCCAATCTGGGAGAGTTGCGCAAAATGCCATCACCTTAAACTCCAAAGGATCCAAAACAAGATCCTTAGGATGGTCCTAAACAGTCCCCCGCGGACTAGAAATTCTGAGATCGACCTCCTGGCTGGAATTCAGACATTAGAAGAACGGAGAGTATTCATCCTGGAAAGGTTCAGAGACACCTTTTTTTTTTTTTCTTTGGTTTGTTTTCGTCGATCTTGTTTTCCGTGCTGAGCACCAATGCTACCGACGCCAGGGAGGCAGCTCCCACACCTGGACACTACCTATCGACCCATCAACTCATGAACCGGGGACCAATGGCTTTACTTCCCTTCCGAAGGAAGGCTTGATCAGAGATGTTATGCCTCAGAACATCCCGGCGGTGCCGACTGGGATTGAACCCAGGCCTGCTGGGGTGAGAGGCAATCACGCTTACCACTACACCACCGGCGCCGCTGTCCGAGATCAAATCATCAGATCATACGTGATCTAGCACGTTAGGTTAAGTTATACTCGCAGTTAGGTAGGTTATCACTTTTTTTCAATTCAAATAAAACAAATCCCCAAAGGGGTATTCTGTAAACTAGTTGGAAAACGTAAATATTAAATTAGAATATCAAATTAAACAAAGATGAAGAGCCAGATAGGCTTATCAATAAATATGATAAATCAATGTTCTACCATAATCAACAGAAATAAACATAATTTTACTACTGGAAAAAAAAAAACTAAAAAAAAACTGTGCGTCGGTCCCAACCCCTGTAGCGTATACCTTTTGTACTAAACTGTGTTAAAATGGTATGTTTCCCGTATGGGTGTACAGTAGTTTCATGAACTCGTTGGTACTTCGGATATCTGTGTATTAAAACCATATTAAGCAGTTTAGTTTGAAATGAGTAGGTTTTATTTTCGTAAATCTTTGATGTATTTCAATAATTTATGTTGTAGTTTGACGTTTTGTATCATACATTTGAAATGTTACATTTCTGTTTCATTGGATATTTCTTGAAAAGGTTCATTTAGTTATATTTGGAAAATCTTTTTCACAATGCTTTCGTTACAGTTAAAATTATCAAATCAATAAGCTTTGAGTGGCTCATCTTTGTAGTCTACATAAATGTTCGTTAAAGTTTAAATCAAATTCATAGTTTTCATTTATCTCTCTTTGAGATTCACCATCAACGGTCGGATATATTTGTCGAGATGAAAATGAGGTTTTCTTCGACATTTATAGCGTTGCATACATATCAAATTAGTAAAGACTAGTCTTTTCGATGAAAAACTTCCATTTTGTTGCTGGCAATAAAAACCTGTCTGAAACTTATATTCGCTTGTCACCAACATTTTATTGTTGCGTCTCTAATTTCTGTTCTGTTTTTTTACGCTTCGTCTAGCTCTAGCTTTCTATCACATTTCCAAGAGTTTCTTTTTCATCTTCCTCTAAAGTTGTTTGCTCTAGAGCTTGTCATCAACACACTTCAAGGACCGAAGGAATTCTGCTTTATCTTATTGCCGGGAGATGGAAACTGGTCGCTCGATCCGGTCTCGTTGACTCAGTACCCTTTTATCAACGAGGCCACGTGTTGCTTTTCCTCCTCCGATAATCCGTTCTTCAGTGTTCGCCTTACTATTTTTAAGAGGAGTTGTAGAAGAAGAAAAAAACGAGAAGAAAAAGAATAAGACAGATGAAATGGTTGAGTGAGAATTGAATTTTCGTCGTCGTTTTTTTTTTTTTTGTTCTTGCATCCAACCGTCGTGGATGGGAAAGAGAAACTCATGCACTCTACTGACGACACGGCCAATGATAGTAGCTTAAAATTGAGTCGAATTCGACTCAAAATTGCAAAAATATTGAATATGAGGAAAATCTAGAGATATTTCAAACTCCAAGACTGACTAATCTTTTGGTTCATTATCATTTCAAACAGTTTTTTTCCCGGAGAAGTGAGGAAAATTTGACTTTGAGTAATCCGACTTTTTTGCAAATTTTGAGTTGAATTCGACTCGGTTACTAAGTTACTCTCCTCAGCCGTGCAGCTTAGTCCAAGTTGAAGGAGAAAACTCTTCTAAAGCACAAAAGCGGGGTGGACACATGCTGATGGATGGGTTTGGAGGGTGGGGACGGATACAAAGCCTGGCAAACTTGCAGAGTCATTTTCACTCTGCATTTTCCCTACGCTGGAAGGAAGTCGGTTCGGGTATTCGTAGGATAGTGAGGATATATTTTCTTTCCCGGTGTCCCTCGGGGATACCAGTTGAGGGGGAAGGAAGTTGCTTCGTAATTTAGTTTTGCATGGATGACACATATTCACACGGGGACTCTCTTTCTTTCTGACTTTCACAGCTGGATTCAATTGAATTTCATGCTTTTTACGAGGGCGGATGAGTTCTTGTTAGTGCGGTAATAAGGGTTGGAAGTGTTGGTATGGATCGTCAGAGATTTTGTTTTAAACTTAGTTGAGATTCATTCGTGCTTATTTGAGAAGTGATACATGTGATGGTATGAAACTTGCTCGACATGCCTTGGAATTGTGCATCATTATTATTATGTCATGCAGTCAACTCTTCCTTATAATATAGAATCCCTAATCCTAATCGATCATCTTATTAATGAAAATTTATATATTTTTGATCGGTCGTTTAAAATAGTTCTTGACACGTTAGTTCTATGATCGAGTTAGAGAGTGTTATATACGATAAATATGCACTGTTACTACTATTCAATCAATTACAATGGGATCTCGATTTTCGCTACACAGATGTTTCATTACGTTACCGAAAAGCCCAAAATCAAATATTAAAAACCCATCATCACCCTCGTGAGAACAGATATAGTTTTTGCAGTGCTACAATAATTATTAAAAAGTCGTCCATATAAAATAATCCGTTAGAGATAACTTCGTCAAGATACATAATTTGCCAATTCATAAAAAAAAATCACTGGATAACTGTTCAAAAGACAGTTTTAACGTGTGAAATGCAGTGTCTTTTAAATTCTGTAAGTGTTGCTGCACGTTTGATATGTCCAGGCATCGAATTGAAAACGTTTATTCCTTTATAATATAATGAATTTTGTGAAGCACAAGTCATGAAATGTGGTGTTCTTATTTCAACTGTGTTTCTAGTATTATATCTATGAAAGTCACTTCCTCTTTCAATTCGATCACACAAATATCGGGGCAGCAAACTGTTAACTACTTTAAAAATGAACACCATAGTCAAATATACAATTTTTTGCTTCACCGACAACCATTGTAAGGCGTCTCGCATCAAAGTTGAGGAAGTGAATCTATTACATCTCAAAATCAAACGCATTATTTTACTTTGCAAGCGCTGTAATCTCGATATTTGTGTTGCATTGGTAAGAAATAAAATGGAAGGGCAAAAGTCAAGATGAGGAGAGATGATTGATTTGTATAGCTGTATTTTACTGGCAATAGTTAAATCGTTTTTCCGTCGACATAGAATTCCATACTTCTTGGCAATTTTCTTGATGACATTGTCAATGTGAGAGTTGAACTTAAGTGTGTCATCAATAATCACGCCAAGATATTTAATCTCCCGAACTCGATCAATAGTCTCATCATTAATTACAACAGAGACGTTCTCATTTACTCGATTCCGCGAAATTACCATAAATTTAGTTTTACTTGTATTCAATTTTAACTGCTTACACTTCAACCATCTACTTAGAGAACGCAAATCTTCATTCAAGTGTAAAACGGCATCATCTAAATCCTTAGCTGCAATGAATTACACAGTATCATCTGCAAAAAGATTAATGTCGCAAAATCGTAAAACACGTCGTAAGTCATTAATATACATAATAAATAACAGGGGCCCTAATACACTTCCCTGGGGCACTCCAAGGTTGTTCCCCACGGGACTGGAAACAGAATCATTAAAAACAGTCCGTTGAGTTCTGTCAGCCAAATAGCTTTCAAACCATTTGTATGCAGAACCCGAAATTCCAAAGCGCTTGATTGTTCTCAACAATAAGGGCCTAGAAATTGTCTCAAAAGCGCGTTTTAGATCCAAAAACACAGCAACAATCGTATCTTTATGCTCCAAATTTTCTTTCCATTTAGCTAACACTAAGTTTAACGCAGTTTCACAAGAATGGCCTTCCCGGTATCCCGATTGTTCCGGTATCAACAAACAGTTACTATTTAAATATTCTAACAGCTGGCCTTTTACAACAAGTTCTAAAATTTTCTCTAATGTGTGCAACATGTTGATGGGACGAAACTCTTCGGCTTTAATCGTTCCAGCAAGTGTTTGAATACGGACCACTAAGGATTCCTTCAAAATTTGTGGCACATGTCCAGTTTGTAATGATTCATTAATAAGGTCCAGCAAGATGTGGCCAATGACATGAAAGCAATCTTGAATAACTCTAGCATTAACATTATCTACTCCAGCCGATTTTCCTAATGAAAAACAAATAACTCTAAGTTCATCTAATGTAATTGGGTGAAAAACTTGAAATCTACATTTTCTATTAACTGGCTGTTTTATTTCGTCAGGTTCATCGACCAATTCAATGGATTGATTAATCAATGAAACACTGTCTACAAAATAATCATTAAACTTAGCTGAAATTACTTGTTCTGACTGTTTTAATGCGCCATTAAAAGTTATGGACCACGGTTTGCATTTACTAGGTTTTAATAAAGATTTCAAAATTTTCCATAACTCTTTGCTGTTGTTTTGATGCTGATCAATCTTCCTTTGAACATATTCACAACGAGTTTTCTTTATCGATTGTGAATACTTATTACGCGCGATTGTGTACCTAGTCCAATGATTGTCATTATTTGATCTACAAAACTTTTTGTACCATTTGCCCTTTTCCGTTTAAGACGCAAAAGATCCAAATTGTACCAGCTGTTCGAGTTCTTCAAAGAAACAAACTTTTGCTCAACTAGTTGATTGGTACACGTTTTCAAAGCGTTATTAAGAACAGCTGCATCTAAGTTACGGGCCGCGAATGTAAAATCCACGCTCCTCTCAACAAGATTCGAAACAGCTTGCTTCGAATATTTCCTCTAGCACTTCAATTTTACAAAATTATCGTTATCGTTAACATGGTCTAAGACATTAATCACTAAAGTCTCATGATCGGTTATTTTCAAATCAGTATCCGTAACTGAACAAATGGAATCAAAATTGGAATAAACGTGGTCAATTAAAGTTCTACTGTGCCTGGAAATACGCGTATATTCATTTACCGTTTGCTTTAAATAGAAAAACTCAACTAAACGCTTAAAATGATTCGAATTATGGTTATCACGCCAATTAATATTAAAATCACCAGCCAATATATTTCATTGATTAGAATCAAGGAATGTCTCGAGCCAGTTCTCTAAAACTTCAACAACTGGTCACTAGAACTGGGAGAATGATACAAAACACGAAGGTTGAATTGAACTGATTCTTTGACATAAATAGCAACACCGCCAGTGTGTCTAGAATATGATAAACAAGGAGCAACAATATATCCCGGAATACTATACTGATCAAAAGCTCCAATTTTTTACAAAATGAGTTTCAGAAAATAAAACTAAAAGAGGACTTTGACTATATGTTTTTAGTATTACTTCTACGTGAAGTCAACGATTTACATAGTTGAAGATGCTAATTTCAAATAACAGACTGTAGTGGTAATTTTTTTTTATACGATAGATGGAGTAGATGAAAGCATAGAGTTGATAGTTCCGTTAGAGTACGGCAGTGTGAAGATTGTATATAGATATTAGACAAGCGAGCTAGGACAACTTTTAAAGGAAGGTACAAATCGGTTTTTTCATCTCTCTTTACCAAACTCTCCCTTTGGAGAGGGATGGTGAGGGGTGCCCCCCCCCCCCACCACCACTGTCAAAAAGAGATGAAAACCGACCCGTTCAAGTACCAACTGTGTGTTTGAAACAGCTCTACCGATTTTTACCGCACTTCAATTGTTATTTGAAGGAAGGCATCCAGGCACGATGACAGGAGCACATATCGTGGTAGGGGTAAACAATAGTTGCAATTTCCAAACCTACGACTGGATGCCTTCCTTCAAATAACAATTGAAGTGCGGTAAAAATCGGTAGAACTGTTTCAAACACACAGTTGGTACTTGAACGGGTCGGTTTTCATCTCTTTTTGCCAGTGGTGGCGGGGGGGGGGGGGGGGACACCCCTCACCATCCCTCTCCAAAGGGGGAGTTTGGTAAAGAGAGATGAAAAAACCGATTTGTACCTTCCTTAAAAGTTGTCCTAGTTCGCTATTCTAATATCTATATACAATCTTCACACTGCCGTACTCTAACGGAACTATCAACTCTAAACTTCTAAACACTAAACTTGTTATAAGTGAAGCGTGGATTTTGAAACATGTTCACTACTTTAACATCATTTATAGCGATGTCTTCATTTTGACTTTTTAAATAGTCAATGAAGACATCGGAGGAAAACTGATCGCTCATGCCCACTATTTTCAATCTTGGCACCGAAGTGGGAACAACAGCACTATATTTTTCACCCAGATTGCTTTCAATACCAGTTTTTACATCATTTAGATTAGCTCCTGTTGCACACTCAACAATAATGGAGCCATCTTTACCATTCCTGAAATTACTGATTTTGTGTGTTTTTGGATCCAACTGTGTTTTCAAAAACTTACGAGTATCTTCGCAAGCTTGTTTGGACTCTTTTGGTTTGATCACAATGACCGGACGAGTCTTACGATTACTCTGTTTGTTACTATTTTACTATCACGTTGACTAATGTTTCCTACCCTAGATCTGAGTTTTCCTTTAACATTACTAAACAAAAAGCCAGTAGGACTTCTCAGGGAAGACAGATAAAACTACCGGGGATAGTTTCAACAATGAAAAAATTATCATTCTTACGAATGAAAACCAAAATTTATGCTTAAAACCTATCTTGGTACTGTGAAATAATATTTCCTGATTCCCACGATTCCCTGGAAGTGCCATTAGCTGTTTCTTAATATGCGGGTAGCTCATAAAGGCCAGGAAATGGAAACACTAGCCTTGGCCAAAGTCACTTATGAACGAATATAATATGTTCACGAAGCACTTTGACTTGGTGCGATACACATCAATATCAATTTCCATCTCTTTGCAGCAGATTCCTGATGATTTTTTTTGGGAAAATCTTCTTATTTTACCCTCTGATGATTATCTAATTTTTGGTGACCATGACAAATTGATAAGCTGTTGTAGTGTTGATCAGTGTTCGTTATTTTCATAGGGAAACCATCAAAGTCATGCATTTGTTTGGTTAGTCACAGGAACTCATTCTCAATGTTGCTTAAATTGTAACAAACATAAAGGAACAAAACTAGCACATCTCTATTCACCGGTATTGTCATCTAAATTGTACAGTTTTGGGGTGGGATGAGTAGATTAGGCTATCAATCCGGCTGTCCGAACTAAACTGGCGAATTCCCGCTGCGTTCCACCAGGAACCCTTCACGCGTTCTTGATCGCTTAACTGAAGATTACATTCGAAAACAAGGGAAACACAACAGAAAGGTTATTGCTTTTACCAAGCTATCCACCACCATAGAAGCAGGAGGAAGCCACTACCGGAACGAGTGGGAAAGCTAGCACTGCTTATTCTGTACAAGTTTGCTTCAGGACCCAGAGGAGTATTTACTTACACGATTTTCGATCCGCCTGTCGGGTTCGTTTCCGTTCCCGCTGCGTGGGTCTCGGTGTAGCCGCCTTGGTTGCAGTCTTCACCAGCGATTCCAGAATCTCATCGTCCCCATCGGTGAAGCTTTCGTCTCGGTTATGATGACCACCGATGAAGCTACTGTTCAGGGTGTTGTTTGGACTGGAGTTCATCAAAGTCACCGGTGAGGCCGTGGCATCGCCTCGCCTTCGTCGCCAGGTCAAAGTTCCACTCATTTCAACCTCCGCACCACCAGGTCCCTTGGTTGGCGTTCCCAAAAGGGTTCTGTAGTATCAATTATAGAAGGTTAGACCATTGTTTCGGATCCAAAATAGTTTTGAGTGTACAAACCTCAGCTCAACATCTGCTCGATCCTCCTGAGTACCTTGAGTACCCTGAGTACCCTTGAATTTGCCTACGTCGACAATCAGCTTGCCTCTAGTCTTGTTTCTCTCTCGGTGGTTGGCTTTCTTTTCGATCTGCTGCTGGACGCGTTCCCGAGTAGTACGATATTCCAACGCAAACTCTGAAACGATCCGGCAGAATTCATTCGGTCGCGACTCGGCGATCCTGTGCTGAGGAACTCCCAACCATTGCAGGAACTTACGATACCTAAGAAAATAGAAATTATTTTAAACGCCCAATCACTATTGAAGCTACAGTTAAAGCATACCTATTGAGCACCCTTCTGTGAACGATAGTCAGGATGATGATCCTTTCGGCGCAATCCGCAAGGAAGTCGATCAATTTCTGCTTCAAATGGGGTGCGGTATCATGTTTACTAATCAGCTTTAACCGGTCCCACGAAGCTTTGCACTCCGTTTCTAGATAGGTGACATTATGAGCCAGCTCACCAAAGTCCGCTTTCGATGCTCGGGTTATTGGACCGATTTCCGAGTATAGATCGGTTGTGTTGGCTTGCGTCTCCATGACCATGTGACACAGGTGATGCAGCAGGGAGTGCTTGTGAACCGTATCCTTCACTTCAGGTACCTTTGCCAGGTAATCGATTTGGAAACCCTTCACCGGAGCTCCATTCAGGAAGATACCGATCTTGAGAAGTGTCGAAAGGATGCACTTGAAGGTGAGATTTGACTTCAGCATTTCAACGCCCTGTTTGAGATCCATCAGGGGTTCGGCAATTTCCTTCTCGATGTTCTCAAAGTCCAGCTTGAAGGCCCATAGTTTAAGTCGAGCACCGAGCTCCGAGATTGAGGACAGGGTTAGGAGGAACTGTTCAGCCGTGCCAAGAGGAAGCTCCGGGTTGAGCATCTGTGCTTCCTGGATCTTACATCGTTCTTCGTCGCTCGGAAGCATGTTCAGAAGCTTCTCGATGCCTTCACGAGTTACGACTGTGGAGTCCATCTTCGAGATTGCCGCTTTAATTGCCCGTGGCGGTGGCAGCTTGGTCATGGCAATATTGATTGCGTTCGATCGTTTATGGTCCAGCACGATGATTTCTTTGTTTTTGTTGAGTTCTTGTTGTTTCTGCAAAAAGGGAATCATAATTTTAGCCAAATTACATTATTTCATAGAAGACTGTACTCTCGTTTTGTGGAAGTTTTTTTTTTTAAATTTCGTATGGTACAGATACTGAGTTGATTTAATGTTGTCGAATACAGCCTATTTTCAATCGGAAATATGCCATACTATCAAAGCAAAGCAGAGTGTGTATAGTGTATAGAAAGCTGAATAATGCAAAAGCTAAAATTAGGTTCATGCTGGCTTGTGATCAATGCGTTCAAGTGTGTATTGCAACCATCTTCAAAGACTTGCTTCTTTTTTCTATTTCAATATAAATCCGGTCTCACTGGAAAAGTTTCTTTGAAGCCATCCGTCATAGCAAGGACGCTACCTCTCTCTGTCAAAGTTTTGTTCCGCTTGTAACGTTCCCATCCTTTCTGTCATAAAACCCACGTAAACGACGCGTGCTACTTTTCGCTACAAAGTGCTATCATATGGCACACTGTACCATTTCTTTGCTAATATGAGTCGTAAAACTTCTTTCCAAACATGGAAGGGTAACATTTGCGTCCCTTTTACCAAACTGAAAAGATGGGAATGAATGTAAAATTCATCCGACCGTAGCACGATGAATTACATTATCATCGTTTATTGAGTTTTCCCATCGAACGAGAATATATGTAACTTAACTACTCTGTCGCTTTGCTTGGGATCATATTGAAAGGAAATCGGGTACGTTGTGCAGATGTAAGCACACATTCCAACAAACTTTTACTTAGTGGACCAAAGCCCTTAGCGAACGGGAAGATAAGATATGAAAGTGTTGTTCAGTCGAGGAAAGTGTGGGATCAACACATGTTCGATCGAATAAACTGAATGGCATTTGGATTCCTTCGTTACTCTGTGGAAGACAGGATTTCAACGAAAGGATTGAAGGGGTATCGAGGCTTTATACGGTGTTCTATAGATGGTATTTCGTAATAAAGGTTATTTTTATATCAAATGACAAAGGGCTTGGATATCATTTTAGGCATACTAAGCACAACGCACCCTTTCCCTCTATTTTTCGATCGGATTTTTTCACAAAATTAAATGTTCTCACTGCAGATGCCTTCCAAATTTATTGATTCCGTACGTATCGTAAGATTTGATAAAGAGTAACACATTGTTGAGATATTGATAAAACATTTTTTTTTATTGAGGAGACTTAAGGCTGAACCCTGGGCATTGTTAAAAATCTAACACTGCTTCTTGACGCCAAACTCGGCCTACAGATTCTAAACTCGGCCTAACGCATTGAAACGCCATTGATTCGCAATTGAATTCGCTTAGGCCTATCGGATGAAGATAAAAATTGATTCGGCCAGAGTGTCTCTTTTATTTTTGAGAATAATGGGTGCAAACATTCATATCACACGTTCTTATTGACTTCGTTTGGTGGGTTTTGAACAGAAGTATCTTACCAAACGCATAATTCCGGAGTAATTTGAGTTTTGGGCGTAATTGCATTTGTAAACAAACATGTCAATCACCGATTTCTCGCGAATAAAAGCTCAATTTCGAAAACTAATAACTCTATGAGATAGAGGAATGATTTCTCTATAATTTGGTATAGTTTGATTATGAGATTGAGCTTTAATTCAAGAAAAATCGGCAATTGACGTTTTTGTTCACAAAATCAATTACGCCCAAATCTCAAATCACTCCGGAATTGACTTGTTAACGCCGACATCATGGTTTCATTTGATGTTTTCTGCTCGATAGGCCCAAAATGGGCAATTATGCCGAAGGAGCTCACTACCCTATACCCAAGCTACACAACTTATGATAAAGGTGATTAAAATACTGTTTAATGACATATGAGTGTTCACTAAGATTTTAAAATACTTCATTTCATACTTTTATACAACTGAACGCTTCAATTATCAAAAACTACTAGACCGGTACGGCATAACAGGTCTTTGAAATCGGATCAGCCGGTTTCAGTTGTTGAGAACGGATTTCATCGAACATCATTCCTAACCTTGTTTGGCTACTCACTAGGTAAGCCGCCTTCAATCTGATCGATCTCCCTTGTTCGCTGTGCAGATCTTCGTCTTGTTCCAGTCGGGTCGCTACCAAGAACCATTTTCATTGTGTCGTTATCCGACTTTGTTACGATGTGCCCAGCCCACCGTAGTCACCCGATTTTCAAAATTCGATCTAAAAAAATTTAACTTACAAATGTACAGCAATGCTAGTTAATGATTCAGCTCTTTTCTACAGTGATTCGACAATCCAATCTTTTCAAAATTGGTTTAAATTTTTTCGAAGTGTGACCAAATCAGAAACGATTCAGAAAATTTCTGATTGAGGTGACACTTTTCAAAGCTGATTTAAAACTGAGTCGAATAGGTCATCAACATGTTTCTAATTGAGTATAAACCTTTATGTTATGTTATTCAATCCTTTTTAAAGTATTCTTAGCTTTCCTGAAGTGATCAAACATATCCCGAACACAAGCTTTAAAAAATTGGTTTCACATTTTCTGGAGTGAGGCTGCATTAGCTGATTTAATCTCTTTCCTAAATGAATCCAAGGTTTCGTGCCTTGATTCAACTTTTTCCGAACTGAATCCAAAGTTGTCAGGACGGGTTTGACATTTTCCAACGGGGCTCACCCAGATTTTTGTTAACTGTTTTGGCCTTTGGTAAGGATACAATCTGGCTTAGCTTTCCAAAAAGTGTAGAGAGTTTTCCAAAGTGAACCGACACTTTTTTAAGCTTAAATTTCCCAAAAGGAGTCCAACCATTTCTGAAATGGTTCAATACCTTCCTTAAGGAGTCCCATATTTTCTGTTGAGTGATTAAATTATGTTTAATGTTAGTCTGAGCTTTCCTGAAGTGATTTAACTAACTTTGAGCGTAGATTCCGTTCCCCTGGACCCCTTCCTCGTTCTTGTGCGATTCACATCCTTTAAAAATTAGGCTTAGATTTCCATCCACAAAGTATTTATTTACATGCAAATTTGGGTTTCTTGATCAGCCAAGTTGGATTTTGGCTTCGTCCTTTGAAAAACAGGCTTGGATTTTATAGCATAAATCTTTGTGAGTTCATGCATGATGGTAGATTTATTTGCAGCCAGGTTGGATTTCGCCTCTATCGTTTGAAATTTGTGCTTGGATTTTATAGAATGGAACTTGTTCTATTCACAAAAGTAGGTATTTTCATAGAAATTTGGCTTTTTTCAGAACTTAATTTTGGCTCCTATCTTTGAAAAATAAGCTTGAATTGTATAGAATATAACTAGCTGAACCCATACGTGAGGATTGAATTTCTCAATTTTTGAGAAAACCTTGTTTAAATTCACAAAAGCTCGTATTTTCATAGAAACTTTGATTTTATGTTCTGCTAAGTTGAATTTCGGCTCCGATATTTGAAAAATAGACTTGGATTTAATAGAATGGACCATGCTGAATCCATACGCCAGGGTTGAATTTTTGAATTTTCTTGAAAAACTAGTTTATCTACATAAAAATATATATTTTGATGTAAGTTCGGGTTCCCTGTTCAACCAAGTTAGATTTTGGATCCGTCCTTTTAGAAATAGGCTTATATTGTCTAGACTGGACCTTGCTGAATCCATACGTGATGGTATAATTTTGAAGCATTTTGTTTAGAAAACTGTTACGTATTTTCATAGAAATTTGTGTTTCCTGTTCAGCCAAATTGAATTTCGGCTCCTTCCTTTGAAAATAGACTTAGATTTTATAGAATTGCTGAATCTATACGTATTTTTATAGAAATTTGGTTTATTGGTTCTTCCAAATTGCATTTCGGCTCATATCTTTGAAAAATAAGCTTATATCTTATTGAATGGACCTTAAAAGTTGAACCGGGTTTGTAATTGGAAAAGTAGAATTAGGGTTTCCTTTTCTGCTTAGTTGGATTTTAAATACCGTCCTTTGAAAGTTATGCTTGCATTTTATTTAAATTGACAAAAGTACGTATTTTTGTTAAAATTTGCTTTTTATGTTCAGCCAAGCTGGATTTTAGCTCCTTCTTTTGATTATTAGGCTTGGATTTTGTAGAATGGACCTTCCTCAATCCATATGCCTGGTTAGATTTTTTAGAGCACGTGATCCTATTCATCTTCATTATTACCAATGTTCTTTCTAGAAAGGATACAAAAACTAATGCGCAAAATGTCTTGTTGATAACCCGAGTGTGTCACAGAGACAAACCAGCCCAGGGCTGAAAGTCTCCTTTCCTTAATAAAGATATTAATAAAACCCGAGTGTTACACATAAAAAGCCAACATTTGTGGCTTCTGTTATGCATTATTGTCAAAAATCATGGCTTCAAAGTAGTAGAAGACTAAAGCAAAGGCTAAAAAGTAATGTAAACGCTTGAAATATACGGTTTAGATGTGATGTAAAATGAGTTTTGAATGTTTTTTTTTTGTTTTTTATCCCCCCCCCCTCGATTGGTACGAGCATCGAAAGAAACACTTTTGATTTTTTCCGGCCTAATCAATCAAATTTAATGACCAAAAAAGTATTCTCCAAAACAAAAATAAGACATAACCAAGCATGGGATTAGAATTCAGGTATCCTCTCTAGTAGACCAAATCCACTTGTTGGTAACCGATTTTTTACTATCCATCAAGTTCTCACACATGGCAGAAAACTAAGTGAGAGGAGGAGCTTGTAAAAGTGGATTATGGTCTTATAGTATGTTTTGGAAAACATCGAAGAACCAATAAATTGTAGTGTCAAAAACATACCTAAAAACCCGAATTTATCCACCTATGGTGTGATCAGACCCTTCTTACTTATTCAAGTTTATTTATTTTATTGTCATTATCAGTGACCAAGCCCCCCACCCCCGTGTCATCCAGTGACGCTACGCCACTGCCTGGGGGTACCCGGAATATATCCGGGTGTATTCTATTTGGTGAGGCTACCAATCACCTTATCATCGTATTTTAATGTGATTTAATGGGTTTTAATTCAATTCATATTCAAGCAACTTCCCCGGGGTACCCGGAACATGTCCAAGTGTGTCCAACGTGGTCTGGAACACTTAACACGACTTGCATTGATTTTATTTTTGAATTCTGTAGTAATTTGATGTGTCGCATGATGGTTTTAATACGTTTTCCGTTAAATCCAGCGTGAAGGCCCATATTAACCGGATCTTATTCCGGCCATAATTCCGGAACCGGTTCACCGATTCCAAAAACGTTTAATAGCGTTCAATGGGACCCCAAGACCTATCATTTGGCGCCGAGTTTGTCCAAATCGGTTGAGCGGTTGCTGAGAAACGTGAGCGCATTCCTTTCGTTACATACACACACACATACACACATACAAACGTACACACACACACACACACAGACAGGCTCCGATCTCGTCGAGCTGAGTCGAATGGTATATGACACTCGGCCCTCCGGGCCTTGGATCGATAGTCGGTTTTTCAAGTGATATCTATACCCTTCTTTGTAAGAAGGGTAAAAACGGTTGAGCATGGGATTCGAACACTGGTCCTTGGCGTGATAGATTTGTAACTTCCTAACTAGACTAATTCCGAAAGATGACTTACCTACACGCGTGACGGAATCTATTTTTGACATAAAGTATGAGACGTAAACCAACATGCCATCCTTTTAAATTTGTCGAACCTCTTAACGGAATCCCTTTATGAAGAGCTTTGAGTGTGTTGGTTTGTTTCCTTTAAATTCTGTTATAATTGCTTATCTTTGGATAGATACGGGTATTTCATCTACTACTTACAGACTTCATCAGTGCCAAGTACATAAGTCGTGTTGAGTACTTGGTACTGATGAAGTCTGCAAGTAGTAGATGAAATACGCGTATCTGTCAAAAGATAAGTAATTTTAACGGAATTTAAAGGAAATAAACCATCACACTCAAAGCTCTTCACAACATGTCATGTAAAATTACGTGTGCCGAGACTGAAAAGTTTGAAAGTACGTTTGATTGAGCTGAATTTTGCCTCTATTATAGCTTAATTTGATGTCAATATTTACATTATTTTTTCTAAGTGTGTAGGCTTAATATCTGTGATGTTGTCATCAATGGCAGAAAAATAATATTCTATGGAGTAGAAGCGTTTGGTTCGTCATAAAGATGTTTTGAAAGGTACTATTAGAAGCTTCATCTGCATTATCATTTCAACTTCTTTAGTCTTTTTAGTCTTTTCATGTTTTGTTCTGGTATTTTATAAATCAAATCCATAAATTATCATCTGAGAAGTAGCAAGAAAACATTTTTTTTATGAACATACGAACATACGCGGGATGATTTCTGCATCACTTATAGTACATTTATCTAATTCTTATTTAAAAATATGTATTGTGCGTTACTTGAATAGTTATTTTCCAATGAAAATTTTACGTATGAGTGCTCATTGCAAAAACATGACGTGATATCAGCTAAAGTCTAATCATAGTATCACGATGAATTTTACACGGCACTTCGATGGATTCGCTTTTGCATGCGAATTTACTAATTTTAGATATCTTTAAAATCAGTAAGCATATCATCATAATCATGATTATTGTGTTGTTTTAAGTAGATACTAAAATAATTTGGAAATAGAATAAAAAGGAAGATAATTGACACCGTTTTCAATCAGAGGACGAACAGTAGGGGGGGGGGGGGGCTCAGCTTTACAACTCCCCGCTCCCTACTGCTCTTTCGATGTACATTGAGATCCCCAACAACAGAGCAAAATTAGATCAAGTCCGTATGGAAAACAGAATGAAACTATTCATTTGCTTCACAAAAAAAAAATCCAAATCTGGGACTAAGATTGAAAAAATATGAAGAACAGAAGATTTAAATTTGATTCGACATCTAAGAAAAAAGTTATTAATCTTTTACTTTAGGCCACGTTCCCGTCACATACCTACAGGCGTATAAATGGGTTGAAGATCCTGCGATGAAACATCTTTTTTCGAAGTCTTGGATGAGGGGAGGGGTTGTCAAAATCCCTCTAAAACTGCTATCAGTGTTTGAAAAGTTCGCGATACTTCGTGAGTCATAGTGAGTTTTAGTGCTGTCTACGTAGTTTTTGGACAGCCTTAAAGATCGCTACAAATTATCCAAGCCCTAGAATTTAATTATTTTATTGATGTCTGTTATCTAACAAGCTTTCAAAAGTCTCTAAAATTCAAATTGTTTTAGACTAGCAGCATTATAGAAGCTTATGAATGATATTGATATTGTTGAGTCATTTAGCTGAATATTGAATGGAATAAAATTGTTCAGAAAATTTAAATTTACATTATTTAAGATCATGAAGAGATTTCAGACTAAGATGAACCTTCAAGACCGTGGAACAAATTAAAATGTATTTAAAAAATCCACATTTGAAATTCCTAGATTTTATTTCGACATCTAGGGCCTTGAAAGCTTCCCACAAATACAATTTAAAAAAAAACACACAAAATTATTGCACAATGTTCAAGGTTCATGAATTTGTAGAAAAAAAAACTTAATATGAAACTTTATCAAAAGTCGATGAGAATTTCTAAAGAATGTTAAGACGTACATTAAGGGAATTCTGACGAGTATTCAAATGTAGTTATGGGAAGAGCTTGCTGAAAAGTTTCAGGATTTCTTCAAGATATTTATAATTGTTCATTCTTGATTTCTGGTGAAAACTAAGGATAATTCTAAGGAATTCGCAAGGAGAGCATAAAATGAATTCCAAAATAGTTCTGAAGAAAATCCCAACAAAATCATTAAGAGAATTCAAGGAGCATTCCAAAAGAATCTTTAAAAGAAATAACACGCAAGTTCAATTACGGTTTAACGAAACAAGAAAAAAAAAACACTTAGGAAATGCTATGGAAAATTGAATGGAATTTTAGATGAATTTTAAAGAGAATTTAAAATGAAATCTGAAAGAGCCTTCATGGAGGCTAAAATTTCATGATAAATATGAGGAGAATTCAAATTCAAATTAATTGAAAGAAATCCAAGTATGTTCAAAGAAAAATTCCAAGGTAGTTCGGAGTGAGATATATGACGCTCCATTTGTATGTGCATCAGTTTTTTAATATGAATTTACTTTATTTTTAACTGAGCATTTAAACCATCCAATCTTCAGAATTGTAAACATATGCCTGCTATAATAAAAATGGAGTAAATTTGTTAAGCGCGCCGAAACGTACAGTTATGCTTTGCACAGTAATTCTATATCTTTTGGTTAATGTAAGTGAACGGTGCATTGATAAGCGTTAGACAGATAGAAACAATGATAAATTAAATACGGAATTTAAAGAAAAACAATTTCAATTTACGGGAAAAGGATATTATTTACAAAATCAAATTTTTAATAAAATCTACTAAGAACAGATATATAGAAAGGAAACAGAAAACTTAAACCACATATATACAGAGGTTACAGAAAACTAACTCTACGGAATAAGATAACAGGGTCAGGAAAAATAAGATAAAACATTCAATGAATTTACTCGAAAGACACACTTTTGAAACTAAAAAATTCACTACCGAAAAAAAAACAAATTCCATCAGAAAACTCACCTCCTAGTGATTGGTTAAATAATATGAAGGGATGAAGTTTGAAAGTTGAGCCAAATTGAGGAATTTGTTCACAGTTATCATTATTTCCGACCCAAAACAATGAACGTCAGGTTTTGAATTTTGATTGAGTTGATGTGATTGATGCGTGTTGCAGAATGTGGAAGTATACAGAAAAAAAAGAACAGAGTAAAACACGAGATAGACATTCACATATTTCGGTTTCTGGTAAGTAGAAGTGAAATTAATCAGTACACTAGCATTTCCGGTATGATGAATGAATTAACTACGCCGATGACACCATCTCCCATTACTGCCCAACCGAACCAATGCTAGAAAATAGGATTTAGCCGTACAATTAGTTTTATACAAAGTAGAAGCCTAACCAGTGAAATATAATGCGAAATGGTGTGCAACTCGAACATGTGTTAAAACAGCCTGTGAAAAAGAAAGGATGAACATTTCCAAAACCCCCACTACCCTGGCAACCACCCGATTGACCGCAAATTACCTTTGTCATCAGATCTTTGGCTCTGGATTCGAACAAATGCTCCAGCTTCTGAGTGTCCACGTTGGCCTCCGGCAGCTCGTCCCAAATGGTGCGGTGTATCGTCGCCGGAATCATATCCTCGCGAACTTCCTTCCAGAAAAGTTTCACCTACAAGTGCCGAGAGGAGCAAAATGGGAGGGAGAAGAGGGAATGAAAAAAAAAAAAGTTAAATTGCTTTCTGATTTGGATTTCCTATTTGGTTTGGGATTCGCATTGTAACGGGTGAAATGGGATAAAAATCTCTGTGATTGCTTTGGGGTCATTCCATGTTGAATCGCCGCTATGACATTTGCAAATGAACAGATTTATGTAAATGAGGTTTTTTTTTAAAGAATGATTTAGGGAAACAGGTCTCAGTTAAAATGCATGCCAAATGAGAATTTAGGTTTCATTTCACAGTCAGCTACTAAATTATTCGGCATGGAATGTTGCCGTAATACAATCTAAAATGAATGAGTCGAACGCGCTCTACTCACAGTCTTTTTGTTCTTCTTGATTGTATTCGTCCCGCTCAGGTCGCCATTGGTCATTCCTACCAGGTTTGGCAGTCCTCCGATCGGGAACATTGGCGGCATTAGATTGGACGGTGGCGGTGGCATTACATTTATCGGTGGCATCAAACCGCCGGGTGGTGGAGGAGGTGGCACTGCTCCGCCAAAGCCCCGCGGTGCAAGCACATCCTTATCGTCGTCGGACGTGAGATCGGTAAAGTCCAAGTCACACAGATTCAGCTTCCGTGTCATGTTTTTCACAATCTCCTCCCAGTGGAGTTCATTTTCGGATTTTTTCTGATCTCCGCCCAGCTTTTTAATGTCACTATCCACGCTCGGTGACCGGGAGATATCCTTGTTGCTCTTGCTCTTGGCCAGTCCTTCCTTGGCTTTGGAAATCAAACCGGACATGTCACCGATCCGATTCTGGGGTTTGTCCTCCTGGGGGCTCAGCGGTAGATTCGAAAGCTTTTGGGTCAGGTCTTTGACCGTGTGATCCTTCTTTAGTTGAATTATGAGTTTCTTTTCTTCGCTGTCCGATTCAACTGGTGGGAAAGGGGAAAATAGGGTTTCAGTGATAATGTCTGTTTTACTTTTATCTGATTTATGTATTTTTTATGGAATGATAATGTAATGAAACATTAAGTTGTTTCCAAAAAGCATGAAAAGGATCCTAATTCATTTATTATTCAGTTTATATTTTCATAAGGTAAGTGATCCAGTTTTAATTTTCAATTTTCATTATTTTTACCAGAATCCAATTCGCCAGACTGGACCAATCCCCAGAATGTATATGTTCTTGCATTATATATCTTTATTTATCCCAGATCATTAACTGCATTGTGAGTGTAACAAGTCTCAAACATTATTCATGTGATTTGTTTAAATGTCTCATTCTGTTCTTAAACAAAGATGTTAAAAGTTCACACTTACAATTATCTCTTTAAAAATATATAGTTAAATTAAACTCTATCCCATTACCATCTTTCTCATTATGGTGTTTTCCATGTATGGCATATGAGAGTCCCAGGATAACGAAAATCCTTTAACAACAAATTCGTACTAAATGACCTGAACGGCCGAAAGTAGAAATAATAAATTAATTTGAAAAAAAAGTTTCAGTTCCAGAACAACAATCAGCAAGCCAAAAATATAATTTGAGGATGGCTTGATTTTGGCTGATTTTCCAACATTCTATGCGTTAGGGAAAGTTGGGGATACTTTATCCATGGTCCTCCAGGTAATTCCCATGATTTCAGAAATGTTTTTCATCATGCAGCTTTGTTTACATGGCTGGCTATGCGTAGTTTAACGGGTTGAATGCTTTCTTGTATATACGTGGAAAATGGTGTATTCCGGACTTTTATCGTCAAAATTCCTTTCATTGTTTTTAGTACGTACATATTTAGAAAACATTTTGTAAATTTAAGGTTTCTGAGACTGCCATATACGAGTGTCAATTTTGACATACTATTGAGTCATAACAGAGGCAAAATCCAGCTCTATCAAACGTACTTTTCGTCGAGAAACAAACTTTTAAATCCCGTAGCACTTAATTTTACATTACATGTTTGTTTGTTTACATATCATCCTGTATGTTAAAGATGGATTCCAACGTGTGTAAAATTAGTTATTTGTAAGTGTGTATACACCCACTCTTATAGCAGTTAATCACTGCCATTCAGATGAATCAATTGACTATTTGTTTTGATAGAATTCAAAAGAAAAACTTAGAGTTGATGTTGAGAGACTTGATTACCGAAAAACCATTAGCTAGTTTGTCTCTGTATTGTAACAAGCTCAAGTTAGACCATAGTAAATGGCGACCTGCGGACCCTTCACAGAATACGAGGCTGGCGACGTGTAACCATGGATCGAGTAGAGTGGAGACGACTTCTTCGGACAGCAGAGGACATCAAGACCTTTGCCTGATTGGTAAGGTAAATCAAGTTAGACCAAGTCAATGTTTTAGTAACGACTGCTCGAAGTAATAGACACAAATATGGAATTTAAATTATACTGGCTAAGATATTGACATATTTAAACATAATTTTATATTCTTTAAAAACTACTTTTTCTGCACACTGTCATTCTCCAACCATCTTCGTTTGGTTTAAAGGCACTTTTACTGATTCATAACCGAGCATTATTGGGTTTACAATACCAAATGAAAGTATAAAAATGAACGTAATTGGTCTTTTAATCATACATTTCTGAGCTCATTCAGAGAGTTGACACAGTAATACCTGAGATAAACCTTCACAACGTGAAAAAATTGGATGGAAATCCGTTTTCAAATGCGTTGCCAATTATTTTCATCATTCAAAGATAGTAAATCATATTTAAAACATTGGTAACTTTAAGGATTTTACGGTCTTTTCATCTGATTTGTGTATTATAATATGCATTTTTAACCACTTTGTGCAAAATACATCAATGCCTTTATAAAACTCTTAGATTGCAAATTCTCAACCAATTTTTGGAGTGTACATTCTTTAATGCCGATAATCATTTCTATCATTTTGTTCAAAAGAACTGCCCAAAATGTTCAGGTATGGATGTAAGGAAGTGCATCTAAAACACTGAGTTGACAGCCGACAAAAGACTCGCTACAGAAGTGAAAAATGCCTAGAAAACGAAGAAGAAGAGTTTAATCTGCATAAAGCTTGAAAAGTTGTAGAGAATCGCTTCGTATTTGAATTCAATTCTTCAAATTCTTAATTCTTAATGCCGAATGAACCAAATCAGCTGGTAGTTTTTTTTCTTCTTTTAATTCCTAGTCAAAATATTATTATTTTAACTAATATAACTGAAATCCATACATGACGAAAAAAGTAACGTTATTTTATTTCCATTCATCATACACAATAATTTGTGGTCATCGAATAGCATTGTTGAGTCCAAAATGGTGACATCTGGTTTTAAGATGGCCTACAATATGATTAATACAGTCAAGATTCTTATAGTACGGATTCGTTCTTGCCGGATTCCAATGGTACTGTTGCCACTGGATTAATATAATACGGTCGACCCAGTATTAACGGATACACATACCATATGGGATTTGAGCTAATTGGGACCAAACACTGATTGTACGACAATTTGAAGAGATAACTTTCTGATGTCTTTGAAAAAACTGTTAAGCAGATAGTTGGCAACCTTTTGGAAACATTCAGTTTCCAGTAGGTCACAAGTCTGGTCCTGTGAAAGATCCGGAACATCCGTAAAAGTGGTCAATTCATGAAATTTATCCTAGAGCTCCGCAATTTTTTCGATACCACGCATAAACGTCTAATCTTAATGAATTCGGAGTTGTGACCGGAATATAGTCCTTGGGGATCACGATATGGTCCACTGGAAGATCCGTAACATCAATAAAACTGGTCAATTCCTGATACTGATCCTAGAGCTCCGCGGTTTTGTCGACACTTTTCTAAGACGTCTTACCAAGTACAAAAATGTTGCCTGTTGATCAGTTAGTTGAACATTTCAGAAGAATATCATCTGGCTGTTTAGCTAATAACTAGATTTCCTGAAGTTCAATTAAAATGTTGTCTTGAGCACAGATGTAGCTAAGAAAATTTGCTATAAGTACAAATAGCAAACTTACCCGTAAATCATTATAGCAAAAGCCTATGATTGGAAGAACAAAAAGCTCACTTTTCCATAATAATTCCCATATAAACTTCAAAGGGGCAGTACAGTAGGAGTTCGCAACGAAATTTCCTCATATTTTGGGAGAATGATCAAGGCCTGATATTTTGAACCAACCTAATCTCCATGCTATATGCCACGAACATTCTGCCAATTTTTGATGTGTTCCAGCCTCCAAACATTTTGGATTAGTGCTGAGATATGTCATTATCATTGGCATACTTTCGCGCGATATTGACAAAATTGTTCATCAGATAGTAACTGATAGACTTGATCCTCAAAAAAACCTTTATCAAAATTTCATTAATTGTTTTGTCAATGACAGAGATTCAACTGGCAACAAAAAGTGTAATTTCGTGCATTCTGAGTCACATTATTGTTATCCAAACAGTTTAGAACGTAAATGCTTCTGCACTGTTATGGCTCCATGTAATTGTTTTGCTCAAGTCGTTTAATTTCGGTTCAAATTTAGCTAATAAAAAAAACTGAACATGTTCGTCACTGACAATTGACATAGTTTGACTTGACGATGACTGTTAGCTCAAATGAGTGACCAAAGCAGAATTTTGAAAATCGCCGTGTACTGTCGACATTTTGCAGCATTGTTTCGGATACCCCCAGGGAAGTGACCAGAATCTGTCCTAAACCAAAACCCATATGCGACACACCAACTCATATGAGAACTCGACAACAACATTTATGGTCATATTGGGTGCCCTGGATTATATTGGCCCCATCTAGCCATGTTCCAGGTGCCTCCGGAGAAGTGGCCAACTTACGATATGGATCACAACCTTAAATGTGACACAAGTTCAACCGTAGTCATATCGAGTGCCCAAGACCATATTGGCCACATCTGGACTCATTCCGAGTGGCTACATTCTCACATGGGCCAACACTCATCATGCGACACTTCAATTCACATGAGAAGTAAAAACTATGATCGTTTAGAGTCGTAATGAGTATCCAGGACCAGTTTGGCTGCATTCAGACACGTTCCAGATTCCCCAGGGGAAGTGTCCAAAATCTATCTTAAAGTTAAACCTACGCAAATTACACGAGAATTCTAAAATAAGACCATTGATGTTCATATTTAGTGTCCAAAAACACATTGGCCACAGTTGAACATGTTCCGTGTTCCCTCGGAGTTATGACCAGAATATGGTCATGGGTAGCTAAGTTGAGTATCCAAGACTACATTGGTCACACTCGGACAGGTTCCAAGTGAGTTACCAGAAGCTTAAATAGGGTAAATGTTAGCTTCGGCCCATTGACTGTTTTCGGTAACTAAAATTTAAACGTTCATTTCACTGTATGTTACCATTAAAACACTTAACTGAATGTAATCAAACAATTACTCAATCTTTCAGTTTCAATCTGATTAAATTTTTACGATGGAGCAATCATGTTATGCCAAATATTTCTACGCCTTATAAAATGTTAGCTTAATTTTCGAACAAAGTCTATTGCCTAAAATTTATGGCATCTAGAAAATCATCTAGTGAAGATTTTATACAAAAATATGCATTCTGGAAAACTTGCACTTCTCTAGTGAGAGCGAGTATTGTCGGTAACCAGTTTTTCTTCGGCAACCGTTCCATTTGAACTGCATGTAAATCTGCTGTTCTATTATCGGCAACTCGAAATCAGCTACAATTTGAAGTGCGTGTGTTGCATTTCAAGAAAACCTTGCTAGATTGCTTTTTCTCAGTGGTAAAATATAGTCAAATTGAAGCTGAAAGCATAAATAATCATTTGCATGCATTCAGCGAAGTGTTTTCGTAAGAAAATCCAGTGAAAATAGTGTTTCAATTTGGGTTGCCGAAAATAGTCTGTCATGCCGAAGCCGTCATTTCCCCTATTGAATTTTTTTTTTAATTTCAGCATAAAAAAAACATTTGTGCACACCAAATTTTGGAATCGAGTTCCAGCAGAACAAATTGCTGAATGGCTTCCAGCTAAACTATATCTTGCTGCATGTTCAGTAATTTGAGATATTTTGCTGGATGCTGAGTAACTTGTATGAAACGTCAAAATCATCACCGTTCACTCTCCCGCGTATTCTGTTTTTCTTTTGAAGAGAATAACTCATCATGAATAACAGGTAACATATAATTAGAATATTCGCAAATGTATAATGAACTCAATATTTACTATGGATTACATCTGTAGATGCAAACATTGCCGGATTGACAATCAAATGAGTTTAAAAGTGAGTTTTTTATCAGTTTGAAAACTAATCCCAATTCAATTGTTTTGAATCAAATAACTGGTCTTTCAGCAATATCATTGACACTCTAATTTGCTGGATATCCAGTACATGTTGCTGGATTTCCAGGAAACAGCTTTCACTTTTACATAGGGTCAATTTGCTGGTCGTTCAGCAAAAGTATTTTGCTGGAAGAATTGCGGGTTTTACAGCTCGGAAAAATCCAGCAAAATTATTCTGGTTTCCAGCGATATAAAAATAGTGTGTAAGAAGTCAAGGGGTAGGTCACTCGACACACCAATCTTGGGTCATCTTTTCTGTCAGTGTGCTGCAGGGGCGCCGATTGTGCCGGTCATAGAGCAAGCTGCGATTGTTTGTAAAATATCCATCCCGGCAACCCGGTATTTCTGAAACTTTGAATATTTTGGTTTGAAATCGCAAGGATAAACCGGATTGAGGATGACACGGGAAGTGGTGGATATCCGAAATTTCGGTGTTTTGTGTTCATATGATAATAGCAATTCTGTGTTTTAGGGTTTTATAATGCCCTCAAAGGCATACCATAGCCTTTCGTGATATGAAAGTAACGGTCTATCAGCGGCCGGAAAGAGTTGGAACCGGTGGCGAACATTGTTGGAGACCGACTATAGAGGATGATGAATAGACTTCTGTAGTTTGTTTTGTGTGAGTTGCAGAATTATTTGAATTAAGGGTACTAATGGGGTCTAATTAACTACCTCTTTATCTTGAGCCCACTCTAAAACCTACATTTCGTATTTAGATCTAAAGTGAACAACTAGTCTGAGTTCCTCTGCACACTTAGAAAAAAATTATGCAAATTTAGGTGCTCTGAGATTGACATATACGAGCGTCAATTATGACATAAAAATGAGTCATAATAGACGCAAAATTCAGCTCAATCAAATGTACTTTTCGTCGAGTAACGAACTTTTCAGTATCGGAGCACTTAATTTTACATGACATTTTTGTTTACGTCTCATCCTTTATGTCAAAGATGGATTCCGTCACGTGTAAAATTAGGTATTTCTAAGTGTGTGGTATATTGTTGTGAATAACTTCAATGACAGTTGTCCAACAGTGCTCCCATTTTATTTACAACAATCCAATACCTAAGAGATTGTGCCGAAGATGTGCCGATGGATGTGCCCAAGCTGTGTCGAATCTAACTTCGGCACAATGTGCTGAGTGACTTACCCGTTGGTAAGATGTGTAAGTTTATGTTCTGAAAGCTAATTAATACTGCAAACTTTTCTGATATTGAACACAATAGACACTTTTAAATCAAAAAAATCAACAACAAAAAACAGGTGAACCAGCTAAAGACTGAAAGTCTTATAATAAAGCAAAAAAAAAATCATGGCACATCAACTTTTAGTAAAATGTTTGACTATTCTTTTCACTAGTGTACTTGATTGACGTAATGGTTTATTTTCTGGAACCATCTTCATTGATTTGAAGATTTGTGCAGAAAAGCTACAGATACCGAAGCCAAACAAAATAACTTAGCTGAGAGTCAGCGCCGTTTGGTCGCCGTCACACAATCCACTTACAATTTAACTTTTACATTTACTTCACATTATAAGTTCTTCACGCAGCAAAAAAAAACGTCACCTCAATAACGCGGTCTACTACGATTACACTTGAAGTCTTTTGAATCTTAAACATCCTGAAACAGTCCTCGAAGTTAAAGTAACCCACATCTGAAATCCTCCCAAGGTTCACCAAACCTAATGGAAGTGTTTTTTACCCGTCACATAGCCTTCAGACTTCTTTCCAAAGATCTATAGGCTCACTGGAACTTTTGGCCGGTTCAACTTAGCGTTCTTTGAGCACCTCCACAGTTGTTCATTTGGAGCTATCTATCCAGTATCATTTTTACATTAGTATAATTGTGTGGCAAGTACACAAAATTCACAATTCACTGCATATTCTTCGCCAGTTTGTGTTTACAATACCGTCTATACTACTAAATACAATGCACAGTGGTCCAGAATGCATATTTAGGTGGAAGGATATGTTTTGAACCTGAAATAGAAACTTTAGACGAAAAGTCTCTTCTACTAAGTTGTTCCTTGTAGTTAGGTCCTCATTTTTATGAATATGAATTCTTCTTATTCTTCTTATTCTTATTCGCATTTCAAGCTTATTGCTTAGTGCATATAAGGTTATTGCGTTCTCTCAACTTAATGTTCTAAATGCACTTCCACAGTTACTAATTGAGAGCTTTCGATGCCAATACCACTGCATGAATTTATATATTGTGTGGCAAGCACAATGATACTTTATGCCCAGGGAAGTCGAGAAGATTTCCAATCCGAAAGATTCCCTCGACCGGACTGGGAATCGAACCCGCCGCCTCCGGTTTGATAATACCGTGCCTTTACTGACTAGGCTATGAGGCCCCACTTATTATGAATTCTTGGGTGGTTCTTATTATCATTAAACTAAAAAATCTAAAGTTTTTGTTTGACTAAATTAAGGTATACATTCTTAGCGGCGCCGGTGGTGTAGTGAAAAGCGTGATAGCTGAGCTAATTTCAAGCACATTTGTATAAAAATACTCATTTAAATATGCGTTCTGGACCACTGTGCAATGTTCAAATGAGCTCAAAGCTTAGAATGATGACTATAACCTGATGTGGAAACGATTGTGGTGTGTGGGAAATGCTAAACAGATAATTTGAATCACCATAATAGGCAATACGCGTGGTAGGCATTAGCCACACCCAATATTCAGGCTTGGTGCAGAATTTCAGTACGCAAACTAATGTTGAACTAATGTCAAAATATTCATAAAAAAGAATGAAGCTTTAACAAACATGTATGATAATAAAAAATGTAGATGGGAGGTTTAACTACACACTTAATTGATAACAACAAAAAAATGGTCGCAATCGCCATGGCATTCAAAAGCAACACATAAGCACAACATACCTTGGACAGGATCTTGCTTCCCACTCTGCTCCGTGTAGCTTCCATTCGCCGTAGCATTACCGTTCACATACCCGTTGCTTTTCCGATGATCCTCCTTTCCATTATGTTGCTTGTATCCATTCAGATGATACCCATTGGTTCCTGCATACCCGTTAATTTCCCCGTAGTTCCCATTCATCTTGATGTTAGGACTCTCGTTCTCATCCAACTCCCTCGGACTGGCTCCCCGGCCGTTTGGCATATTACCATTGACATCCATCTTGGTACCGTTGTAGTGTCCATTACTTACTCCGTTGTGCTTGTTCAGCAACAGATTCCTACTATTCCTATACTCTACCGCATCGTGGCCAGTTCCATTGGAAATTGTCGATCCCTTCGGGATTCCGAGATCACCATTGGTATTACTATGATTATTATTAGTGGAACTATGTTTATGATTATAGATCACAGATTGAGTTAGACTGGAAACCCTCGTTTGAGGATCATATTCGTTGATTGTGGCATGTTGCAGTTGTTGTTGTTGTTGTTGTTGATGTTGCTGCTGTTGGAAGCTGCTCAGTCGAGTAGAGCGGGGCTCATGTCCATTCCGGAGTCGCACCGGCAGAGGAGCACTCGTTTGTTGATGAAGGCTTTGAGTTAGAATATATCCTAGATGGGATGGAAAAGGGGGTAGCACACAAAAGAAAGCGCATGAATGCAAACAGGAGGGGTGTTAGTGACTGACGACGATACGGTAAATGGAAATCAAATCTTCACACTTGCGCTGGTTAGGCGAAGCGACAATGGGCATTCAATTGAACTGAAAAGGCATACACTGTACTTACCGTGACCGTTCGTGTCTTCCTGAGGTTTGAACTGTGTAAGTTCCTGTTGCTCTCGCATGAAACTCTTCTGTCGCTCGGCTCGTTCACGTCTCCTTCTTAGTCCTGGAGTAACTCCAGTTGTGTCTCTAGAGTTGTCGTGATAACCAACTCCGGTCAGATTGTGATCCGCAGAGTTGGCTGAACTAGAACTGTCTTCATCCTGATTTTGTTGAGTGGGTATTTTTAAGGAACCGTACAATGTGACTGGAGCCACTGGTGGAGGTAATGGTGGTGGAGGTGGCGGTGGAATACTAGGTGGCATTGCTAGTAGCGCAGATGGGGGCGGTGGTGGAGGAACTGGTGGTGGTTGCGCCGATGGAGCTGTACCGGTACTATGCCTTCGTGACTTCCGTCGATCACTGGTATCATTCGAACGGTAGCGGAGCGTCTTACGAACGGTGTTGTCTGGAATGCGAATTCCATCGGTTTCTCCGTCTTCGAATCGTAACACAGTTTCGTAAAGCTGAAGTTGATCCAGTAGGTCGAGATCCGTTCCAGGGCGGGACATATACCGCTGGATGATACCTTCCATGCCCTGTTGCTCGAGGAAGTCGCTCTCGTCGTAGAAACTGTCCTGATCACTGAGACCCGATAGGGTTTTGTTGATGAGCGAGGTTGCGTAGATGAGCAGTTCGGTGTCAGCATTTTCGTAGTCTTTCAGCAGTCTGGAAATAAAAAAATCATAGATAAGATATTGCACTTTAAGGTTATCTTGAAAACAATATAAAGCTACCCTATGTTTAAGGAATAATCGATGATTGTTTGCGTTCACAAAATTTTAGAAGTTGTACTCAGTCATTTTGAAATGAGAAATTGTCAACCCATAAAATTTTGTATGAATCTTTACAGTTTGTAATTTATTTTTGGTATTGTTCTACCCCTCAGAAAACATTATTTGATTTTTTCTGAAAAAAACACTCTTTTTTAGAGAGTTCTCATGCATGGTTCTATTTATTCTAATACCAATTGATTCTAATACTATTTGTCAGAAAAAGAAAAAATACAACGTCAGTTTACTACCTACTGCATAAACAGTGTTATGTACTCGGTTTTGAGTAAATCGACGCATAAGCATACTTAAATAACCAATCATATATTAATATTTTAACCATGATGACGCGTTACATCATCCCTTAAAACCCCCACTTCATAAATTTAGCTTGAAGAGACGACCCATCCCTCAGCTGAAAGTCTCATCAATAAAGCTAACCGAACTAAACCTTAAATTTAGCGTAACAATTTTTATTGAAAATTTAGCAACCTTCTCCTCTCCCTTCTGCGTTACGTAATATTTGAACGGGCACATATGTAGGTCCTTTTCAGTGCAAGTTGAGTCAGAAATCCAGACGGTCTGATTCGAGTCATCGACTGGGTGTTTTTGTTTGTTGTTGCTTACTTTTCTAATTGGAGATTTTCGGCTGTGTTATTGTGGATCGGATTTGATTAGCTCCAAGCCCCGTGCACAATAATTTAGTCAAATTTGGATACGTTTTGATCTCGAATTGATGCTGAAATTGTGCTTGGGGTGCTGCACTCATATTTCTTTCAGTTTCCCGGTGTGACCTCGATCGCATGTAATGTATTGTTCAGGTGGTGTGATGAGTCAGGTTTTTGTTCACGCGTTCATAATATTTCAATCAAACACGTTCGATCATTCAATATGTGAACTTGGAGTAAATGACTACCCGAAAAATATATAATAAAACAACGAAATTACAATGAATATTACTGTTGAATTTCAAGTATATTAATATGTATGATTAAATTGTTGTACGAGAAAAAAAAAATTACTATCGCTTTTAACGATACAATGCTCAAACAATGAAATTTAATGTGATGAGATCAAATTTGTTCGATAAAAATTAAATGGTTTTATTGTTAATATGATTGACAACCCCTCTTTTTACTGTTTACGTTTCTCAAATACCATGATTTTCAATGTTGTGAACTATGGTAATCGACAAAAATTTCCAATTTTCTGACAGTAAGTAATGGTTGAAAATCATTTTACTTTTATTGGATTTTTTTTATGAGCAATGGCCAACAAAGCAAAAATTAAAATGGTATGCAAGAAAAGTTAATCATTCCTAATTATTGTGCAGCTAAAGAATAGGCTTGTGGAAAATATGAGTGGAAGCTTCTGGAATCCACATCTGGATTCAATCATGGAATGATTTGATTAGTTTACTCCAGTTGAAAAAAAAAACAGTGTTACCCGACAGAATAACCTCGACGCACGTGATCGGTTTGCTCGGTTGTTACGGTTGGATACAAGTAATAAGTTAAGATTTTGTTCATGTTGAAACATGATTCGTTTTGATGCATTTAAAATGACGCGATCTCTATCAAACATTTCGGCTTGGAACATGACCGATTGCTTGGACGTGTGGAGTGTTTTGGGACCCATTGTTTGAGTTGGAGTTGGTGCAATTTAAATGCATAGTGTATAAATCCGCACATGTCGTATACATAAATCATAAATTAATTTGGTCGTCGTTTGTATCCCGTTCTGGATAGACGCATTGTTGCCTCACTGCTCTGTTTCAGACGCTTGCTCGGTGATCTCTTATCAAAGCAAATCAAAAGAATGTCGAGTGATATTCTAGTGTCGAATACCCTAATTTTTGTTTTCCCGGATGGTGCCGCGCAACCAACTTTGGAAGAAATGACACGTTTTGTGAAGACGTTCGTTGCTGAACGAAGGGACGAAGGCTGCTGGAGACAGCGTACAATATATCTGAAGAGCGGAGCGTCTTTATGAAATTTAAGTACGAAGCAGCAATGAAAAAAGCGTTAGTGCAAAACCCAACCAAGGACACTTTTCTTTATTCCAATGGAAAAGTAGTGGAGGTCATGTGTCGATGTCAGCTGCGGGGGGCAACATTCTATACGTGCATGTGTTTGATGAGAAGTAACAAATCTGGATTTATCACGAGTGCTGGAGAAATTTGAAAAAAAATTCTCGGTTAGAGCGCACAAAACTTGGGTTGGGTAATCTGTTTACTGGTGTCCGTGGAGTTCACATGGACGTCGAGAAGAATATCCCATCGATTCTTCGGTTTGATAATCGGAAAGGGAAGGATCTTTTATGAGCAAATGAAATTGACTTGCTACTTGTGCCAATCGGATGGCCACCTGAAAGCAGCTTGCCCGAAGAATCAAAACTTTCCGGTACTTCTAAGCGGAGCGCAAAGAATATCAGCAAAATTGTTAGCATGAGCATGAAAACATTTCGTGTATACGTATACGCGACGTAGTGTGCGTAAGAAGAACGTCAGCAATCTCTATAATTCTTTCGTTCTCGCTCGCATATACATGGGGTGACACTGTCGAATCTTGGTCGAAATGCATGGAATGGTGACAGTCCTAGGACAAAAAGGTTGAAATCACGCATAACTTTTCATAAAGGTTAATGTACAATTCAAAACTTTTCCAAATGTTTGTAAAATTCATCGGTTTCACCCGTAGAATAGGAATATACATTTGCCCTCAAATAAAAAAAATGAATTCAAGCTGCATTAGGTCCTAAGTAACATTGACAGATTCTCTTCGTTGACTTTCTCTTTGCATCCCCACGGTCATGTAAAGACTTGAATCGCACAGTATGTTTCTTCAAAAAAGCTATTTATTTAATGTATTTGCACAAGAGAAAAATATAACATTATATAGTTGTAAGCAAAAAACCGAAACAGAAAGAAAAAACCATATTTTCGACATCTTTTTCTTTAACTCCATATAACTTGGAACCAGTAGACTGTGGAAATTTAACGTCTTTGAAAGAGCTGTTCATTTTGTCAAGATAAACAACTTGTCTCCAAAACGTCAGAGAAAGAAGTTAGATTGTGGCACCATCTTTGCGGAAGAGTTTGAACTATTTGTTTATGTCAATAGATGTCCAAGACACCAAATCACGGAAATGTTTCGTTTCGGAGTTATTAATTTTGCTCCGCTAGGTTGGATTCGTGACCCATGTAAGCATTAGACATTTTAAGAAATTGCGCTTGGTGTTTTTCTTGCCTGCTGTCCTCTGTCGCCATATTGTCATTATGAAAATGCCATTAGCCTTGGAATAAAATCCAAGAAATTTCAATAAAATAATGGCTAAATAAGAGATCCGAAATGATTTCCAGTGTACATTGGTATGAATTTATGTAGTGAGATCTATTTTCTGTAAAAATAAGGTGATTCCATCAAATTCATTTGATTTCTGAAACAATCTTTTTTGTTAACTTGAATTATTTTTGAGGCGCATTTATTTAACGCTCATATCATCCCAATATACACGATAAAATTTCAAGCGCATATGTTTTGGAACTTCAAAAAAGTCGTATATTTTCTCTAAGATTTTCACTAATGTCGCCATGAAACAAAATTGATTGCATGATGATCTTGACACCAACACTCAAACCTATTTTTACCGATAAAGATTTGCAGACGGAAAAAAAAAGTTTCAGCAGAACAGAACAACAACAAGCTAATTTATGGCGGTTGCTTTGAAGGCAATAAAAATTAAATTGGCTTTATAACTGATTTTCACCAAAGCGTAATAAAACTGCTTGGATACAATATTACTCTTATAGAGGCTATGAGAACCTTTTGTAGAGTATGGGGCTTTCTGATAAAAGGTTTTAAGACAGCTTTATTGTGATTCTCAAACATGCTTTATAAACCATATCAAGAGTGGTCCACTAAGCTGGAAGACGATCTTATAGCGGTTATCAAGAGGTTGTGCTGGAGCTATTAATTTTATTGACGGTTTTATAAAATTGATCTCAATAACCACTAATAGAGTGCAATAAAACAAGAAATGCTACTTGGGTACGAATGAAGTATCACCCCCCAGGAAGAACCAGAGACCAAATTCACCTCTTTCGGGCAGCAATTCCAATTAATTTTGTTATCTTAAACAAATTATATATTTGTTATTAAGTCTTTTGACTCCGTAAAGTCTTTGAAGACAATTGGGCTGTAAGGCTACACTAGCTAGAAAAAAAAATCATAAATTTATCGTGGTGTTTAAAAAAGCTTTGTTCAAGTTACATAACGAGCACATAGATTGTCTGTAGATTTTTAATGTTTCATTGTATCCGTATTGTTTATTCAGGATATGATCCAAACAAAAATATGCATATGCAATTAAAGATATTCAAACGTAGATGGGTTAACTAAAAATTCAATTTGAATTCAATCTAAGCATTCTATTAGAAAAATAAATTAAAAAGTCCAAAAAGAACGATGCATTCCTGATCTTGACAATACTGATTCACCGGATTCAGTCAAAAGTGCACATTAGCAGGCATGGAAAATCATTTGTATTCATTTCATACATTCATTCACATTCATTTGCCTCTAACTTTTTTCATCAACAGCATTCCGCAAAATAATGTATAGAGCTTTTGTAGGTTTTGTTATTAGCTACAACTTTTGTTAACAAGTCGAATCTGTATCTCTTATGAATCATGAACTAGAGCGGGCAGAATTTGTTACTGTTTTTCAGTGAATGTAAAATACATTCACTGAAAAACAGTAATGGCTTCTGTTCACTTTGGTTCGTCATGCATAAGAGATACGGATTTGACTTGTTAACAAAAGTTGTAGCTAATAGCAAAACCTATAAAAGCTACATACATCATTTTGCGGAATGCTGTGAAGAAAAAAGTTAGAG